GCCCATCACCCATTTAGAACTCCCCCCCACGTCCCTCCATCAATCCTCAGTTCTTCCTCTATCATAAAGAGTCTCTTATGGTTTGTTTCCCTCTCTCTTTTTTCCCCCTTCTTATATGTTCATCTGTTTTGTTTCTTAAATTCCACATATGAGGGGTGCCTGGGTGGCTCAGTTGTTAAACATTGCCTTTGGCTCAGGTCATAATCCCAGGGTCCTGGGGTCGAGCCCGACGTCGGGCTCCCTGCTCAACCGGGAGCCTGCTTCTCCCTCTCCTGCTCCCCCTGCTTGTGTTCCTTCTCTCACTGTGTCTCTCTCTGTCAAATAAATAAATAAAATCTTTTTAAAAATCCACATATGAGTGAAATCATATGGTATTTGTCTTTCTGACTTATTTCACTTAGCGTTATACATTCTAGCTCCATCCACATCGTTGCAAATGGCAAGAGTTCATTCTTTTTGATGGCTGAGTAATATTCCATTATAAATAAATACATTTTCTTTATCCACTCATCAGTTGATGGATATTTGGGCTCGTTCCATAGTTTGCCTATTGTTGGTGATGATGCTACAAACATTGGGGTGCATGTACCTCTTCAAAACTATATTTTTGTGGGGTGCCTGTGTGGCTCAGTCGTTAAGTGTCTGCCTTCAGCTTGGGTCATGATCCCAGGGTCCTGGGATCAAGCCCCGCATCGGGCTCCCTGCTCCACGGGGAGCCTGCTTCTCCCTCTCCCACTCCCACTCCTCCCTGCTTGTGTTCCCTCTCTCGCTGTCTCTACGTCAAATAAATAAATAAAATCTTAAAAATCTTTTAAAAAAGAGAGCTCTATTATGCTTAGGAAAATGCACATTGCAGTAAATATAGATGAATGAGAATTGAATAAATTAATGATTTTCAACATTTTATCTTATCATCTGGCTTTATAAACTTAAAAACTACAACAAAATATTTTATTTATTTATAAAAATATTTATTTTATAAAATGCTATTTTACTGTTTACACTATTTGCTTTTTGCTTTGTTGACCTAATAATTTATCATTTAGAATATCATTTGGTGAACAAATTATCGTCTTTTAAAATGTATGATATGATGTTGAGCACTTTCCTTATTTATTCACAAACACATTCTTTAAAAATTTATTTTAGGGGGGAGGAACAGAGGGAGAAGGAAAAGGAGAGAGAGAACCCCAAGAAGACTCCTTGTCTGAGCTGGAGCTCTACTTGGGACTCAGATCCCATGACCCTGAGATCATGAACTGAGCTAAAATCAAGAGTCAGAGGCTTAACCAACTGAGCCACCCAGGCAACCCTGAAATTTTTTAAAAATATGTATTTATTTATTTGAGAGAGAGAGAGGTGGGAGGGGCAGAGGGAGAGAATCTTCAAATAGACTACCCAATGAGTACAGAGCCTGAGCAACAGGGGGCTCCTTCTCATGACCCCTGAGATCATGACCTGAGCCAAAACCAAGAGTTGGACGTTTAACCAACTGAGCCACCCACGTGCTCCAAAAATTAAAGTTTTAAACTTATTTTATTTATTGTGTTACACATAAGGGGAGAAAGAAAGTGTCTATGATTTGGTTTCAGACCATGGTCTATTTTTAAATACACACACATGTATATATTTGTCATGAATATATATGTATGAATATATGAATATATATATTACATTATTAAACATTTTCATCCTTGGTTTCTTAGGAATGCGCCTGTAATTTTTTATTCTTCCCTATTCTTAAACCAACTAAGATGTGTTAGCTTAAGGGAATAGTGCTCTAACTGCTTGATGATTTTATACTTTACTTCTTTTCCTTTACAAACTCTAATTGAGAAGCTCCTATTCCTTATAATTTGAGTGAAGATGTACAATTTTGAGTTTAGGTGAATTATTCAGAATTCAGGACAATAAAAAGCTCTATGTATATCTAACCAAAAAAAGCTATTTGCTAGAAGGAATTACAAAATCAGAAGAACTGGACAAGCAAAAGTGAGAGAGCCAGCACTGAACTCCTGGTTTTGAAGTCATTCTACTATTGTTGCAGTACAGAAATCAGGAAGCTACTATTACTACCAAAACTGCTCATCTGAAGGCATTTCACTGGTAAAGCCTAATTTGCATCCAAAATAATAATTCAAAGGAGTCCTTAAAATGGAGTTTTAAGATTTCTGGACCCAGAATTTTTAAAAAGTCATAAAAGGAAGTAGAAATGGATGGCAGTTGGGGAAACATCATTAGTTCAAAAAGAATCTTGCCCCAGCAATTGAATTTATTTATTGCTTTGGGGCTAAGTTTTCAGTGGAACAAGAATTCTTTTGGCTACAAATCACACCACCAATATGTAGGAATGAAATCATATGCTCTTCTCTTTTTTTTTTTTTTAAAGATTTTATTTATTTGACAGAGAGAGACACAGCGAGAGAGGGAACACAAGCGGGGCGGGGGGAGGGGGAGAGGGAGAAGCAGGCCTCCCGCCGAGCAGGGAGCCTGATGCGGGGCTCAATCCCAGGACCTCGGGATCATGACCCGAGCCAAAGGCAAACGCTTAATGACTGAGCCACCCAGGCGCCCTTGTGCAAAAGCTTTTTATCTTGAAGTCCCAATAGTTCATTTTTTGCTTTTGTTTCCCTTACCTTTGGAGACATGTCTAGCAAGAAGTTGTTGCAGCCAAGGCCAAAGAGGTTCTCCTGTAGGATTTTGATGGATTCTCACATTTAGAACTTGAAGAATTTTTAAAATTTATAATGGAATGAAAGGAAAACAAACATTTGTAGCATAAAAATGGAAACCAGCTTGATCAGCTATGCAATAATTATAAGCTTACTAAATAAAATTAAGTTTAATATACTTTACAATAGTTCATCAAAGTATTATTTCAGCTCACTGGTAATAATCAGTAAAATTAATCTTAATGATCTGTCACTTCACATAAGCGTACATGAGCATAATGACATAGGGCTTGGTGGTTTTTTACATTGTTTACCTTTCCATGTTGTGTCCAGAGGAGACCAAGTTTTTGCCACCTAATTATTAAAATTAAGCTGGAAAATATGATTAAGAAGATTCCCAATGAATGATGGAAATAGTCTGTATCTTGAAAGAGGTGTGGGTTACATGGATGGATCCATTTATATAGTTAAGACTGATGCATTTCAATTTGTGTAAACATTACCTTAAGAAAAGACCTGTACAAAAACATTGAGTGGGAAGTGGAGGGGAAGTTATAGATGAAATGAGACAAGATGTTGTGAAGCTGGATGACGTGTAAATGGAAGTTATGCTGTTTGCTTTGTATGTGTTGAACTTTTTCCACAAATGTTAGTGAGTTATTACTTGTGAGACGAGTTTATAAATTCAATTCAGTTCTACTCTAGCAAAGGAAAGCGAAAGAGAATAAAACAGAGAAGCACTCTCCTGAAAGAATCTAAAATAATCAATTTCCATAAAAAGGCAGTGTCTTCACATACCAACTGATAGCCTTGGATGATACATTAAGATACTATCTTCTTCCTCTCTGTCATAACAAGCAACATTCTCAAAGACATTTCAATGTCTCAACTGAGTATCACAGATACTGTACTGCTAGTAAAATTTGCTTTAAAGTGAAAAATAATTCAGTAAGCTGTATGTGAAGATGTCTGGTGGCACTGCAGGCAAAGAGAGAGCTCAAAGGACCACACAAATGGCAGGGATGCCATCAAGCTGGAATCAGAATGCCCATCGAAGGAAGGATTGAGTTGGAAATAACTTTGTTTCAGAGAAGAAACTAAACCCATCTAATATGTTTATGATTGTTGGTTTTACTTCATCAGTTTATCTTGTTATTCATACTCTCAAGGAAGTCTATTCTCAGTAACATTTATCAAGTGAACCACGGAGGCTGGTCACAGTGATTTTATTTTTTATCCTTCTGGGTAGGTAGAGATGTTTTTTAACTACAAAATTATTTCATCTGTTCAGAGTTTAGACTTTATTTAGCTTTACTTATTTTACCTAGAGTTGAAACATCTTGAAAAATATCCTCATTTTTATCTTCCATCACTTTGGCTCTTACCTGAAGTGAACTTCGGTTGAACTCAATTGATTTCACCTCTCAAGAAATATGAAATCAATCTGAGATGAGATTATGTTTGGCACATTTTGTGTTCTTATATGTGCACTGACCCATTTCATATATTTTGAGGATATTTAAAGACATATTTTCCTATTTATCTGAGCAGAAAATGGTGAGATAGAAATGGATATAGCCATGATGAACCATCATTGAATTCTATGGAATCCACTCAAATGTAATTCACTATCTTACTTGGTGTCTATTTATAATAGCAACTAGCGTCATCCTTGTTGTGAGAGGATGATAGAGGTGATTCTTGAATGTTTGTATTCTGCATTGCATTATGTCCTTACAACATGGTAATATATTTGGGCCTTCATTAATTAATTAATATAGGAGGGAAATTTGATTTAAAAGTTACAATAAAATGAACAAAACTAATAAAATCATGACCAATTCTACCCATACAAAATGAAGTAAAATCCTAAAATGCCTACTTATGACAGACTGATTGTTGCTTGTTCCTCTTTAAAGATTTATTTATTTATTTGAGAGAAAGAGTGCAGCAGGGAGGGGCAGTGGGAGAGGGAAAGAGTCTTAAGCTGACACCCAGGGAGCTCAGGAGCTCAGAGCCATCTGGGGGCTCTATTTCACAACTCTGAAATCATGACATGAGCTGAAACCAAGAGTCTGACGCTTAGCTGACTGCACCACCAAGGTGCCCCACTAGTTACCCTTTTAAATAATTTAATTAATCAGATACTTCTATCATAAGTATGTGTTGGCCTCAATTTTCCTCCTAATAGCTTAATTGTTCCCCTTACTGTGCAGGTGTAACCACAAAATAAGTTAAGTCTTGTTGTTCATGCCATTTTATGAGCCATATAACTTAGAGAAATAATTGTTTATTTTATAATTGGTGTTGCTAACCAACTTTTACATTTTGTATAGTTTATTGACTTGTTTGTTGGGACGATTAAATAGTGTACTTTTTGGATTCACAAATCACACTACTCATCAGAGATAAATTTCACTGCCAAAGAATAAAAATTGATTATAGGAAGTTTACATTACCTGAGGGTGTGATTCCTAAACATTAGTATGCACGAGAATCACTTAAAGAGAGAGATTGAAGTGCAGATTTTCAGCCCTTAGCACCACCAGAGAATTTCATTCAAGGTCTGGAGGGAAACCCAGGAGTCAACCTTGAAAAAAACAACTCAGACTCCCAAGTAATTATTTATGCATATGGTTCACACACTACAATTTGAAAAACACTAACTCCACCTGAAAGTCTTTATAAGGCTCAGATTTTGGAAATGGTATTGCCTGTATGCACCTCCTGAAGTTATTAATTTGAACGCGTGGTGGCAGTGCAGGCTAAGAGAGTGAATAAGAGCTCTGCAGATTCGGTGGACTCCACTTTATTCAGAAGCCCCCCAAAATACAGAACACACTTACAGCTGGAGCTAAGATAGTAGTATTCAGGAAGGCACTCGTCACCAGACAAGTTATAAGACGAATTCGAAATTCAACAGTAAAGACATTTCGGAGGGTCGGTGGTGGACGTGATGATGGGGACTGGAAAAAGATTTTTTCCTCTGGGATCAGACATAATGGAGATGGCGAGAACAAAAGTACATCGCAAGAAAAGGCAAGTGGCAATTCTCATTATATGGGTGCTTTTGTGGGAAGCGGGTTCAGAATCGATTCAATATTCTGTACTGGAGGAGTCAGAAACTGGCACGTTTGTGGCCAATTTGACAAAGGACCTGGGACTCAGGAGAGGAGAACTGGCTGCGCGTGGTGCCCAGGTTGTTTTCAAGGGGAACAGACAGTATTTGCAGCTTGACCCAAAGACCTATGATTTACTGCTAAATGAGAAACTGGACCGGGAAGAGCTGTGCGGCTCCACTGAGCCATGCGTGCTACCTTTTCAAGTGTTACTGGAAAATCCCTTGCAGTTTTTTCAGGCTGCTTTACGAGTCAGAGATATAAATGACCACGCCCCAGAGTTCCCAGCCAGAGAAATGCTACTAAAAATATCAGAAATTACTACACCAGGAAAGCTATTTCCTTTGAAAATGGCACAGGATTTAGACGCTGGTAACAACAGTCTTCAGAGCTATATAATCAGCTCCAATCCTCATTTTCACGTTCTCACTCGCAATCGCAGCGATGGCAGGAAGTTCCCGGAGCTGGTGCTGGACAAAGCCTTGGACCGCGAGGAGCAGCGCGAGCTAAGGCTTACCCTCACAGCGCTGGATGGTGGGTCTCCGCCCAGGTCTGGGACCACGGAGATTCAGATCCTGGTCTTGGACATCAATGACAATGCTCCCGAATTTGCTCAGGAACTCTATGAGGCACAAATCCCTGAAAACAATTCCCTGGGCTCCCTGATTATCACCGTCTCAGCGACAGATTTAGATGCAGGATCCTTTGGGGAGGTATCTTATGCTCTATTTCAGGGAGATGACATTAATCAACCCTTCGAAATAAACGCAATTACAGGAGAAATTCGACTGAGAAAGACTTTGGATTTTGAGGAATTTCAATCATACCACGTGGATATTGAGGCTACAGATGGCGGGGGACTATCAGGAAAATGCTCTTTAGTCATCAAGGTTCTGGACGTAAATGACAACGCTCCTCAACTGACCATGTCCTCCCTCGTCAGTCCCATCCCCGAAAACCTGCCAGAGGTCATAGTAGCAGTTTTCAGTGTGTCAGATGCAGATTCTGGACAAAATCAACAGGTTATTTGTTCTATAGATGACAATCTCCCCTTTCTTCTAAGACCATCAGTCGAGAATTTCTACACCTTGGTAACTGAAGGAGCGCTGGACAGAGAGAGCCAGGCCGAGTACAACATCACCATCACCGTCACTGACCTGGGGACGCCCAGGCTGAAAACCCAGCACCACCTAACGGTGACGGTGTCCGACGTCAACGACAACGCCCCGGCCTTCAGCCAAAGCGCCTACACCCTGCGGGTGCGCGAGAACAACAGCCCC